GGGGGGGGTACTCTGCTGTTTTCCTTTCACCCACTTTTATTTATTCCTTTTTCTTACAGTTTTTGTATTTTTTTTCTCCTGTTGTAAGCTTCAGATTTAATCAAAAATTTTTTGCTTATTTTTACACCGTTAAATATTTTGAGAATGATAACAGTTTAGTGTAACTGGTAATAAGTTTAGTCTATAATTTCAGGACCTTAGTGCTGAGGGTTTTAATCCGCATGAATTCGAACAATATTTGCACCTAAATGATCGTCCACTGTCTGCGACTGCCGAACAATATATGTAAAGAAAAAAAAAAAAGTATCCAGTGAATTGTAAGGATGATAAAATGGGAAAAAAAAAGACAAAAACAGAAAAAAAAAAAGCGAACAAAAAAAAAAACATTTTTTTCTGTAAACTAAAGATTGAAGGCAAAGAGAGCGAAAAGAGACGAAAAAAGTGAAAAAGAGGAAAATCTAGCGGACTGACTGACCGTATTTGGATTTGGTATCGTCCAGAGAATTTATCAAGAAACGATTATTTAATACAAGTTTTTTTTTTTTTATTCTTTTTACAGCCATTACTTAACACATTTTTACTTTTACTCGTTTATTTCGTTTATAAATCGTTGTTTAATTTGTTCGTTCATTTGTCTGTTCATTTATTCATATATTCAGTAATTGATTGGTTGCATTCATTTATTCAAATTATTCATTCATTCGTTCATCTGTTCGTTTGTTCAATTGTTCATTTGTTCATTTGTTCATTCATTGAATGTTGTTTAAGCAATCGGATATATATACTGTATGTGTGTGTGTGTGTGTGTGTGTGTGTGTGTGTGTGTGGTGTGTGTGTGTGTGTGTGTGTGTGTGTGTGTGTGTGTTTGTCGGTGTGTGTCGGTGTGTGTCGGTGTATCGGTATATCAGTGTGTGTCGATGTATCAGTGTGTCAGTGTGTATGTCGGTGTTTGTGGAACAGTGTTATTTGAACTTGCCGGGTTTATTGAAATAAATAAATAGCTAAATAAATAATTAAAAAGAGCATTTTTTTTTGAAAAACATTTTTTTTATACACAGTTTTTTTCCTCTTTACTTATGGGATTTTTTTTTTGTTTAGGTTTTATTTTTGGTTTTTACCACACTTTTTTTTCTTTCATTCTTTGTTTAAATGTAACTTTGTTGAACAAACAAAGATATATCAAACAAAGAAGAGGCAAAAATAAACAGAAAATCTATATATAAATATATACATATATAAATAACGATAATAAGAGTAATGAAAGAAATTAAAACGAAATAAGCGGACAAAAAAAAGAAAAAAAAAAAAAGAAAAAACAGGAGAAAAGGTGACTAAAAAAATTAGAGAATAATTAATTTATTTGTTATTATTTACTGTTTTTTACAACCCATTTTTTTCCTTCTTTTTTTACATTTCTTTTTATTCGTTTGATGATAAAACAAAGAATAATATTGCCGCATTTATTTTTTTTTTTCTTTTTATCATCGTCGTCCAATTCGAACAAACTCTGCATGTTTTTTCGTTGTTTTTTGAATAACTCTGGTTGATGTGTTCATTTTTTGTAAACTTCTCATCGTTGGGATTCTTGTTCTGCATCTTCTCCTTGAAGCTTCACATCCTCTTCCTTCTCCTCGTCCTCATTATCATTATCATCATCATCCACTTCTTATTAGCCTCGTTATTTGTATTTTTTATGTTTTTATGCGTGTTTAGTCTGGTGATCGTCATTACGCTCATAGACTACTTACCAATTTTCCTACTGTGTAATTCATGAACCACCCATTCATCAATCTATTGGTCCATTCATGTATCCATTCATTCATTGATCGTCTATAAAAAGAGCTTTTTGTAGATCCTCTGTTACAACATTGTGCTACTGCTGCTGTTGTTGACGCTGATCGACCAAATGCACAGTAATCAGTAACCAAACTTTTAGCGATCAAATTTTTTTTTGACCAGTCATTTACTGGATGCTAAAAAGAGACAGGACGAGAATAAGAGAAGTTTTATTGTATTTATTAAAATCTACAAAAAGCTCTTGTTGTGCAA